GAAGGATTAGCAGTTGGAAAATAGGGTTTTGGTGATAGAAACAATGCTGGAGATTGCATGATAGATGTTTGCAAGACCAATGACCTCTTCATTGCAAATATATTTTTCAATATAAGAGGCCACTATATACCTGAACGTCACCAGATATAATACACAAGAATCAAATTGACTATATCTATGGGAAAAGACAGTGGAAAAGCTCCATATCATCAGCCAAAATAAGGCCATAGAAAGCTGGAACATCATCAATTGCTGGTATGCAAATTCAGTTTGAAGCTAAAGAAAATTGAAACAATCCACAAGATTCAAAATAAGACCTTGAACAAATTCTACCTGAATTTAGCGACCATTTCAAGGACAGATTTAAGGCATTAGACTTAATGACCGAAGACCAGAATTGTTGTGGGATGATATCAAGAACATGATACATGAAGAAAGCAAAAAAAAAAAAAAAAAGTCATTAAAGAAATGGGAAAGAAAGAAAAGTCCAAAATAGATATAAGAAGACACTCTGAAACTTTCTCTCCAGATTAGAGATGCTAAAGTGAATGGAAGAAATGAAGTCAAAGAACTGAACAGAAATTTCAAAAGGCAGCATGACGAGACAATGTCAGGTCTTATAATGAAATATGCAAAGTCCTAGAGTTAGAAACCCAAGAGGGAAGAAAACGCTTAGCATTTTTCAAGCTGAGGGAACTTAAAAAAATTCAAGTCTTGTCTTGCAATATTGAATTCTATTGGCAAAATATTGAATGATGTAGAAAGCATCAAAAGAAGATGGAAGGTATACACAGAGCCGTTGTACCAAAAAGAAATGGTTGATGCTCAACTATTTCAGGAGGTAGCATGTGATCAAGAACCAAGATATCTAAGCTGCACTGAAGGCATTGGTGAAAATATTAAAAGTACCACGAATTATCAGAAAAACAAAACAATATGTGTTGGAAGAAGTACAGTCAGAATACTGCTTCGAAGTTAGGATGGCCAGACTTTGCCTCTCATACTTTGGACGTATTATCAAGAGGGACTAGTTCTGGGAAGGAGACATCATGCTTGGTAAAATGGAGGGTCAGCCAAAAAGAGAAGGACCCCCAATAAGATGGGTTGGCACAGTGGCAGCAGCAATGGATTCAAAGGTAGCAATTATGAAGATAGTGCAGGGAAGCGGGCAGTGTTTTCTTCTATTGTGTATGAATCACTGTGAGTCAGAGCCAACTCGATGGGACCTAACAACAACATCAACAAATGTTTAATATTTTTGGAATAAAGACAAAAAGGCATATGCATGTAGAGACATAATCTTATGACCATTTTGTATTATTAGGACTAATTGAGATAATTTAGACAAGATTTACATGACAATCCTTTATTATTCACTGGTCTGTGTGGCTCTGTGGATTAATGCACTGGTCTACAAAGTTGGTTTGAACTACAAGGTCAGTGGTTCAAGCTCACCAGCCACTCCTCGGAAGCCCTGTATAGGGTCGCTATGGGTTGGAACCGACTTGATGGCACTTCACAATAGCACGTTATATAATATCCTAGAATGTGAACCTAGCAGATCAAAGGCTATATTAAATTGGGATTTCTCTCCAAATTCATACAACTTTCAAATAACAATGTTAGTAGACTTTGGAAGGAAACTACTAAAATAGGTAGTAAAATAGGTGGTAGCACCATGGGTAGGGAGTCCTGGTGTGGCGCTGGGGGTTAATGCGCTGGACTGCAAGGTTGGTTTGAACGTCAAGGTTAGCGGTTCAAGCTCATCAGCTGCTCCTCTGAAATTCGTATACAAGGTCACTGTGCGACGGAACAGACTCGATGGCACTTACCAACAACCACCACCACAAGTAGGACAAGTACACTATTCATCCATCTTTATCCCCAAGGTGTATGTTGCTTTATATTAATATTGCTGATTTAAACCCTACTGCTGTTGTTAAGTGCTGTCGGGTCTATTCCGACCCATAGCGGACCTTATAGGATTTCTAAGGAGTGACTGATGGTTTTGAACCTCCGACATTGTAGTTAGAAGTCCAGTGCTTTACCCCTGTTATTGTTGTTATTAAGTGTCGTCGAGTTGGTTCTGACTCAAAGCGGCCCTGTATATGGGTTTCCAGGGAGCGGCTGGTGAGTTTGAACCTCCAGTCTTGTGGTTCAAAGTGACTTGCAGTCCAGCGCATTAATCCACAGTGCCACACCAGGGCTCCTGCTTAACCTTAGAGCACTGCTATTATGAGCAGAGACAAGAGTCCTAGAAACGGAGTGGATTTTGAGCTGGCCTGCTAATCACAAGGTCAGCAGTTTGAATTTATTTACTTACTCCATGGGAGAAAGACTAGGCTTTTTGCTCTCGTAGAGCTTTATAGCCTTGGAAACCCTGTAAAGGGTCGCTATGATTCGGAACTGACTCCATGGCACACAACCGTCAGCACTACCATAAGGAGAAGTGCATCCAGTGGTTAAATGATCAGATACACCACTCTTTGTGCTCTTATCCCATCTCGTAATTCAGTGATGAAGACAATCTTGAGAGAATCAAGACCTTTATAGCTTTAGGAGTCTTTCCAAGACTATGGATCTTGAGGCGGTGGAATTGCACGGCACTGGGAATTTGACTAGAAACCAGCCAAGATGTAATGTTAGAGATGCTGTTTAAAAAAGTTATTTGAAAGAAAACCTCAGGGAATTTAGTATGTTGGCTAAAGAAATTCTGTCTGGAAACCCTGTTTGTTTCAGTTGAAAAAGTCCAGTCCAGATTTCTAAAATGCTGAGTTGAGAGAAATAAAAGCCATTTCCCCCATGAAATAAAAGCCACTCCCACCAAATGCTCCTAGACTGCTAGATGTGCTCCAGTGATGGACAGCTGATGCACAACCTACAGGCTGCATGGCTTCCCTGAAAAATCCCATTTTTCCCCCTCAAAATTTGAGGCTGGTCTAACCAGGTCGGTTAGGCACCCTGTCCCTTTCCTTCTGCTTCTGATCTAGTTTCCTGACAGTCAGCTGTCAGGCATTTTTGTAAGCCCAGTCCCGGATCCTGGGCTGTGGGAGTAGGGGGTAGCTTCTTGTAAAGGTGTTGACCATCATTAGTGTTAATTAGAGGGTGGTGAATAGGGAACAAATAAGGACACCTGCAAAGTAGGGAAACCAGATTAGAATTTGAAAGTGCAGTAGTACTCTAAACTAGTATGGTTGAAAATGTGAGTTTCTTCAAAGTCCAGATAGTATAAGAGGGGAGTTCAAAAATTGTGTGGAAGAAAAAAAAAATCCATTATCTTTTAATTCCATTTGTCCATGAGTTTTCTGAAGCCCTTTCATATTATTCATGTTTCTTGACTATTAAAAATCAACAACAAACAGTTGCTTTAAGAGTCAATTCCAATTCATGACCACCTCATTTACGTGGAGGGTGCGCTCCATAGCACTTTCAATGGCTGTTTTTTTGGAAGTAGATCACTAAGCCTTTTTGGGTGTACCCAACCTCCAACTTTTTGGTTAGCAGCTGAAGATAATTAACTATTTGCACTGCGCAGAGAGTTTTCGTGGTCCTACTTAAACTAAAACCCAAATCCACTGCTATTAAGTCATCTCTGACATATACTGACTCTATAGAACAGGGTAGAATTTAGGCTTCCCAAGGTTGTAAATATTTATAGAAGCAGATTGCTTCATCTTTCTCCTGAACAATAACTGGTGGGTTCCAAACAGCCAACCTTTCTGTAAGTGCAATGCTTGACCAGCTGCGCCACCAGTGCTTTCCGGGCCCGTTACTGTTGTTAAGTACCCACTGATAACAACCCTTTATAGGGTTTCTAAGGAGTGACTGGTGGCTTTGAACCACTGACCTTGTGGTTAGCAGTCCAGTGCTTCTCCTACAGTGTAGTACCAGGACTCTATCTTGGCTTTTGTTGTCTACTCATATGCATCAAGAATTGATGAATTTAAGTTATGGTGTTGGAGGAGAATATTGGAAGTACTGACAACAAATTGGTGTTGGAGGAAGTACAACCAGAATTCTCCTTAAAAGCCAAGGTGGCCAGACTTTGTGTCTCATACTTCAGACGTGTTATCAGGAGGGACCAGTCCTTTGAAAAGGACATCATGTTTGGTAAAGTGGAAGGTCATTAGGCCAATGAGATGGATTGGCACAGTGGCAGCAGCAATGGGCTCAAGCGTAGCAGCATTTGTGAAAATGTTGCAGGACAAGGTGGTATTTTGCTCTGTTATACACAGGGTCACTGTGCGTCAACACCTAACACCAACATTGGGTTTCCAAGGAGTGACTGGTCGGTTTGAACCGCCAACCTTATCCTACAGCGTCACACCAGGACTCTATCTTGGCCCTGTTGTTGTTAAGTATCATTGAGTCAGTTCTGACTCATGGGGACCCTGTATAGGGTTTCTGAGGAGCGGCTGGTGGATTTGAAGCACTATTTTACGGTTCAAATCCATGAATTGACATTGACTTCAATGTGTGAGATTGGGCCTATGTGACTTTAGGCCACAAGGGGGAGCTCTTTGCCTGTTCATTGAGGGAGCAAAGTAATACAGAACTTGCCAGTGGGAAACAGTTTCAGATGTGACCGCCTGTTAATGATTTATTGCTAGTTCTTAATCTGGGCCATCTGGAAGCAAAGTAATAGGGCACCTGTGAAAAGCCTAATTGTTGAAGTAGTATTTAACTAGTGGTATAATCTACTAATTAACTGACTGTATGATTATATATATTTTGGAAATTGGAAAGATAGATAAGTTCTAGGAAGGTGAACACTCCATTTCTTTAGGTCCCATTACTGAGAGTCACACAGCTTGGTCTTCCTGCCTTAGGGACCTTCGGAGCTGGCTGGCGATGAAACTATGGGGGAGGATTCTTATAGGACAATACCGCTGCTGCTATATACTTGAAGAATGTGCTGAAGTAAAAAATGTTATAGTTCATATTGATTTCCCATGTTGCTATGTGATTGAACTTATATGTCTGTTTGGTTTGCCTTTCAGTGGGGGCAATGCCACAGTGACTTACCATTTGCAGTTTGGGGTTCCATCAGACGATGACAATTTTATGAAGTACATGATGAGTGAAGAGTTGGTGCTAGGCATTTTGCTACAAGATTTCCATGATCAGAACATAGCTGGTTGTGAAGCTCTGGGGCTTGAGCCAACATCCTTCTCACTCTTTGGTAAGCAGAACCAAGTAAAGAACTGTGTCATGAAGATACCCAAAAGAATCAGATTGGGGACTGACAGTTTGGTTTGGCTGCTTCAATGACTCAGGCTCTGTCAGATCACTCATTCGTGCATTGATTGGCCCAGAATTTGTGTGTGAGAGTGATGTTCCTGGCTATGTGGAGCTTACACAGCCACCAACCCTCTATAACTAGGCTGTGTAGCTAGAAAATAAATCCTGGAAGAAATACTAAATGTATAAAGAAGAAGATTGTTAAAGCTCTCCATGTTATAGCTAATCCACATTTTAAGGCTTGCTCACAATACCATTAGCGACGGTCACTGAAACATGGCCATTTCACAAGAGAAGTAAGAGTAGAAGAATTTGAAACAAAGGGTATAGCTAAGCTGTTGAAAGAGAATACCAAGATGGAGAATCTATTTGTTTGTTTAAGGCTACTGAGTTCATTAGGAATTTAATGATAGATGCCTTCAGTAGTGACCCTGTGTGACAAAATAAGATGATCTATTGAGTTTTGTTGGCTGTAATCTCTACGGGAGCAGACCACCAGTTCTTTTACCCACAGAGTCACTGGGTGGGTTTGAACCAGCAATTTCCCGATGAGTAGATGAGTGTTTCACCACAAAGGGGCATAAAAGGGCAAATTCATTAATTTCTTTCAAAACGATGAAAATAGTTTACTTTTAAAATTAAGACCAGAAAAGGGTCACTATGAGTCAGAACTGACTTGATAGCACTTTAGCAACAATAGCCCAATTCATGGGAGTCCTGGTGTGGCGTTACAGGATAATCACTGGGCTGCTAACCATAAGGTGGGTGGCTCAAACCCACCAGCTGCTCCTTGGAAACTATACCAGGTAGTTATGAGCCAGAACTGACTCAGTGGCACTTAACAACAACCACCACCCCATTCATGAGTTGAAGTTTGAATATAGAGTAAGGATGAAGGGTGGGGTCTGTTTCAAAATCACTTTATAATTACATATTAAGGGAAGTTTTTATCTTCAGAAGGCATTAAAAGATGCCTGCAGCCATGTCAAGATAGTTGCCATATTTCCAAATTAGAAAATGAGAAGCAAGCACACGAAATACCCCAGGAAACCAAATTGCAGTCTAACTGTAAGGTTATTTTTCTAAAGAGCAGACATGTGGACCATAAGAGACAATGGACTGGACTCTCATGAGATCCCTGAATTTTCTACAATTACTTGTAAAATTTTGGAGGTGGGGAGGAGGGAAGGTGAACTTTTTTTTTTTAATCTGAGAAGAAAATACATGGGTGTCTTCAGACTCTCAAAAGGGCACAGAGATCACACAATTTTAAGACTGTTTGCTCTTTGAAGAATGAAAATGGTGTCATTGTGGAAAACGAGGTCCTCAGCTACTCACAGCATTCTGGGGCAGTCCCACCAAACCCACAGCCCACATGAACATGGGACAGTTTCCTAAGAACCCACTCAACCTCTCTTAACCCGCCTCCCAGGGCTTCTGACACTCCATGCCAACACGTGTTCCTTCTCTCTTAGGCTTGTCTCTGAGCTCGGCCCTCCCCCTTACCCACATGTTTTCTCTGATTTTTTCCCACATTTTCTAACAGGTCATTGCCTAAGTCCTATTTGAAGAAAAACTAATTTTAATACTCTTAAGGATAGCAAATACCTCAAGTACTTCAAATTCATGCTCTGGGAAATGGGATCTTGGGTCTCAGAAAACTCCCGAAGAAAAAATGTCTGAGAGAGAAAGAGTACAGAAAGAGACTTTTAAACACAGATCCCCAGAACCTGAAGCTAACTACTCTTCATCTTTAACCCCACATTCAAACTTCAGTTCATTAATGGGGTGGTAAAGGAGCTCTGGTAGCGTAGTGGTTACGAATCGGGCTGCGAACCTTAAGGTCAGCGGTTCGAAACTACCAGCCGCTCCGCGGGAGAAAGATGAGGCTTTCTACTCCCGTAAGGATTTACACCCTCGGAAACCCTGTACAGGGTCGCTATGGGTCGGAACCGACTCGACGGCACTTAACAACAACAACAATTGTTAAGTGCCATCAAATTGGTTCTGACTCATAGCGACCCAGTATAGTTTACATTTGAACCGTCCACCTTATGGTTAGCAGGCCAGTTCTTATCTTACAGTGCCACACTGGGACTCCCATGAATTGAGCTATTGTGGTTGTCAAGTGCTGTTAAGTCAGTTCTGACTCACAGTGCCCCTGTATAGGGTTTCCAAGGAGCAGCTAGGGAGTTTGAACCACCAATCTTGTGGTTCAGACTGACCTTGCAGTCCAGTGTTTTATCCTACAGCACCACATGGAAATCTGTTTTTACCAAGATCAGAAGACAGTTCAGCAGCAGTAGTTATTTTGGGTTTGGCATTTTGTATTTTTTTTCTTACTTGTGAAGGAGTTAGTCAGGAAATTGAATAAAGAGCAAAGACAAACAGCATTTATGAGAGAAAGAAGAATGAAAAGCTCCAGGCAATGGAGAAAGTGAATCTTGTTGACACATTTTGATGCTAAACTGATGAGCCACCCGGCTGCTGGCAGAGAGGCCAGTGTGAATGTTCGATCCTTGAAGCTGGGGTATCAAGGAATATGATTTGGGATGTTGATGTATTCTCCAGGAAATCTGAATAGTTTATATGTAGGGCAGTAGTTCTAAACTGGGGTAAGTTTTGTCCCCAGACATGTTTGGTAGTGTCTGGAGATCCTTAGGTACCAGGGTGGGTGGTTTGTACTCAACTACTAACCAAAAGGTTAGTTAGAAGTTTTAATTATTTGAGAAAGGTCTGGTCACCTGTAAAGATCCAGTCAAGAAAATCCTGTCTTGGGAGCTCAGCTCTATTCTGTAGCAGATGGGTCACCATAAGTCAGAAACAACTCTACAGCAACATGTTTGGTTTAGTGTTTTGGTTTGGAGATACTTTTATGAAATATAATAAACACATTAAATACTTAAAATCAACCGAATGAAAAAAAAATATATATATATATCAGCTTTTGCTTGTCTGCATGATTTTTTTCCCTCCTTCAAAGTGAAATGTGGACGTCAGTTAGCTTTGAAGTGTCTGTATGATACTGAAGCCAGGTTTGCTTTTAAACATCCTACAATGCATGGGCTAGCTCACCACCACAAAGAGTTATTCAGCCCAAAGTGTCAAGAATGCTGAAGTTGAGAACTTCTGCTGTCGAGCACAAAGGCTTTCTCTCTGGGCAGTCAGCCAACCTTCCTGCATTTTTATGGTGGTAATTGTTTTGGGGCTATAGGATAAGCACTAAACTGGGAGGTTGTCTGTTCGAACCCATCAGCAGCGTTTGTCCCCATAGAGATGTACAGTCTGGGAAACATTATATAGTCACTGTGAGTCAGAAATGGGTTTTGAGGTTGTTTCTAGGTTCCCTCAAGTCAATTTTTCACTCATAGTGACCCCATGTCATGGAATAGAACTGCCCCACAGAATTTCCGTGGTGGTAGTCTTAACAGCAACAGTCTCATCTTTTTCCCAAGAAGCAACTGGTGGGTTTGTACAGCTGACCTTTCTGTCAGCAACTGAGCGCTTCACCATTGCACTACCAGGGGTACATTTCAATGTTCAGTTCATTTTCATAATTTGATGTTGTGGTGCTCTAGGATAAGCACTAGACTGCTAACTCCAAGGTTGGTAGTTCAAACCCATCGACTGCTCCTTGGAAATCCTATACAGAGTCACTTTGAGCCGGAACCAACTTGATGACACTTAGCAACATCAGCAATAGTAAAATGTTCCAACCATCAAAAAGACCACGTCAAAATGTTTATCATGAGTTATATCAAAAACACACGAACAGTAAATGTTAATTGCCAGTTGAAAAGTGTTCAGAGGTGTATGTGTGTTGATTAAAGTGTAAACTTCCTCTGTTAGGAATTTATATTACAAACATACTGCTTTCACAGTGAAATTGGGTAAGAACATGAAATGTGTAAAACCAGTATGCTTTTAAAAATGAGTGATTTTTGCTTGTCTGCATTTTCTTTTCAGAACGAAATGGTGGAGGTCAGCCTGTGTCTGAAAATGGAGCTCCATTGAGTTTTGGAGATGAAAAGACTTCATTTAATTTGACAGAAAGGACGGAGTGAATTAATATAGAGGAGCTGGCATTGACTGCAAAATTGGAGACGGGTCTTTCTCTCCTGATTTTGCACTAGAGGATCTAGCTCCATCTCCAGAATAACAGCGCCTGAAGCCTTCCTAAGGTGGAAGGGCCAGTCTCTGCTCTCTTTACGTGGACACTTTCTCTTTAGTGTGAGCTGGGGCACTGCCCAGGTGCCTCCTTTGAGGCAGGTGCTCAATAACTTGTGCTGTGCAGAGGGGAGAACAGGAGAAGCCAATTGCTCACTGGGATTCACCACCCACCCCATTATGTTTTACCCACCTCTTAGCAAGGCGGCGAGGAAAGAAAGGCACTTTATAGTACATGAGCAGCGTGTTCCTGTGTCCAAACCTGTCACCTGGAGCTGGACATCCTAGCAAACCAGTCCTGAGAACGTTAACCTCTGTTGCCATGTTATATGTAGATAGAGATATTGTGACAGGAATAAGGTATGTGTTTCCTAATTATTTTATATTTCCACATTGCTCCTGTGGCTCCTGAGTACCTTCACTCAGGAAACACAGCTCCCTGGGAGCTTTGAGCAGCTTACTATCATTTTCTATAGTCTACTATTTATGTTTTCTTATGCTTTCATTAGAGAATCTCTAATTCATTATTGTTGTTGTTGTTAAGCGCTGTCGAGAGTCAGTTCTAACCTGTAGCGACTTTATATAGGGTTTCCAAGAAGCAACTGGTGAGCTTGAGTTGCAATCTTGCAGTCCAAACCAACTTTGCAGCCCAGCACATTAACCCATTTAGACACTGCTTGCCTTTGCTAGTGATACTCCACATTGTCTTCTTACTGCCTAGGGTTGCCAGTTTTCCTGTAGGACTCATTGTTTTCAGATGTTGGTTATCTATCTTACGATAGTGGTGAACCAGGGAGAACTAGTCTCCTTTTGAAATAAAAGTGTTAGAAGCTTAATGTCAGATCATTTGGGAGTGGGTGGGATATTAGTAACTGTATTACTGTGGATGAGTCGTTGGGCTGCTAGCCCACCATTCACTATGTGACCCCTTAAAGATTTACAGTTTCAGAAACCTCATATAGGGTTTCTGTGAGTTCTAAAAGGAGCATATTGCAGGCCTTGTTTCCTGCAGAGCCGCTGAGTGAATTGATCATTGATTTTTCAGTTAGCAGGCAAGTGTTTAACTATTGGATCATCATGACTCCGTTTTGGTCTTCTGTAGGAGTCCTAGTGTTGTGCTTTAGGATAAACCCTGGACTGCTAACCACAAGATGAGGAGTTTGAACCCACCAGATGCTCCTTGGAAACCCTATATAGGGTCGCTGTGAGTCGGAACCAACTTGATGGCAGTTAATAATAACAACAACAATATAGAATTTTCATGGAGGAACAAAGTACTTAGCTTTTTGGGGGAAATTGCTTTGCTAGTAATTTTCTAGGAGAAAATTTTGTAGTCATAGAATGAAAAATTCGTAGCTCAAATATCTCTGTTGAATTAACTGGGGATGTATGTTTCAGATTTGTCTTGAGATCTTTGTGACACAGGACTGTGGAAAATGTGACTTTGCTTTCTTATTTAAAAGACAGATTTATTGTAACCCAATATTTTATTTTTAAGAAGAGTTCCTTAAACTGGTAAAACCAGTGGGTTTTCCTCCTCCTTCTTTATTTTTTTACATGTAAAATGTGAACTACAGTGTGCTTGTACTTTTTAGGAGATAATAAACTTTAAAGGTGAATGCTTTAAAGGCATTTTCATTAAATTATTTCTGTGTATGCATTGTCTCATTCATGTTTGCTTTAGAGGGCCAGGCTTTGAGCATTTTCTTGCTGTAAATAATGTTGGAAGTGATCTTTGCCTTTCCCTGGAAGCAGCTTTTTGTGTGTGTGTGAGTGAACAAGATAGAGAGAGCTAAGTTGGTCGTGGTTCTCCTCTCTGTGCACCTGACGGAGACTCTACACCCTTTCATTTCTTCCGAGGCAACCTCCGTGGAAGGAGCAGGTGTCTGAAAGGGCCTGTAGTGGGAAGGAAGGACCTGTTTATATCTGGAGACATAACTTAAACTTTGTTTTGTTCTTCCTTATTTATCTAGAAAACACCCCAATGTATGTACACTCATTCCTCACTTAACCTGGTTAGATTCCAAAGATAAAATGGCTATTCAAAATCTATGTCATGCGAGGTTACAGAGGTGGTCCCTGAACCCAAACCTTCAGTCCTGCTGTACCCCAGCACCACTGTGCTCTGGCCTCTAAGGCTTTTCTGCTGGGGATGCCACTCAAGTGGACCCAGGGTCTGGCAACTGGATTAGAGGCACAGTTTGTCGGTCTAGGGCTGGAGCAGCCAGTGAGGCCAGTGGTCAGCGTTAGTGGAGTTTGTCCATAGCCCAGCCACCTGTTGCCACTTCACTTGGAAATGAGCAGCATGCTGCGTATCTTGGAGGGATTAGAATCCAAGGTTGAGAACCTGGAGTCTAACAGTTGCTCCAAAGAGCTCAACATCTGGCTTCTGCTGCAGTCCCCAGGCCCTGATTACCCCCACTATGGTTCCTGCTGTATGTCTGTCACCTCCAGGGCACTTGAGTAGAGGGAAACAGCAGCAGTAGCAACCTTTTTCATTTTTGTCCCTTCTGAGCACCTGTAGCCATTCACAAATGACCTTTCTCTACAGGGCTCTCCTCCAAATCCACTTCAGTGACCTATTTCTGCATGAACACCTGCAACAGTGCCTTTTGAGGTGGTGACAGGACCTGCACGACAGCTTTGAACCTGACAGACAGGGGTGGTTTTGTAGACTCGGAAGCTGGACTGGGGAGGAAGCCAAGGTTAACTGCTAAATAGTAGATTTTTCCTATTGTCATAAATGGCAAATATTGGATAATATTTGTCTTAATGTGTGTGCTTTGTCTTAATGCAAGGAACTCTGGTGGCTCAATAGCTAAGCACTCAGTTGCTAACTGAAAGGTTAGCGGTTCTTCAAGAGAAAGACCTGGTGGTCGCCTATAAAGATTACAGTTTAGGAATACCTATGGAGTAAGTCTCCTCTCTTACATGAGGTGGCTTTGAGTTGGAATTGACAAAATGGTACCTAAAAACAACAACCATAATAACTATCTCAGTGTAACTATTTTGTCTTGGCATTGGACCACTTTAGAAGTCATCGAGAAGACTTTCCATCGCATGTGAGGTGGGTAAAACTGACCTTTCTGTCTAAAGGATTTTGAGGTGTTCGGACAAATGGCACTTACATAGTTGCTCCTGCTGGAGATGAAGGTATTGGCCATCACACATCAGAATGAAGAGCAAAATGCCTAGTGCATAGTAAACCTTCAACACATACCTGGAAAAATTAAAGCATAGGAGAAGAAAAGCTGCTTTTCTACAAGTTATTTTCTATCAGTGGATACTGCCAAATCAACAACACACTCTTTCCTTCCCCCAAACACAAATTCTATTCGGAGCACCATTTCTTTTCCCCTTTCAGCTTAATTCCATTGTCTTTGTATTTTTAATGCTGTGTTTTGCTGAAGGCTTTAGGAAAGACCAAAGAAAAATAAGACCATAATAAGAAAAGAAGCTGCTAGTTTTATTAGCGATGCTGTATTAAGATAAACATTGGACCACAGTGTTTGAACCATAAAGTTGGCAGTTCAAACTCACCAGCTACATAGGGTCACTATGAGTTGGAACCAACTCAATGGCACTTAACAACAACAGGTCCTGTACAAATGACACAGGAAACTGCAAAACAAACCCAAGAACCCACTAATGCTAAAAATAAATAAGCCAAATTATGCTTTGCAGGTAGTCAGAGAAAAAGGTGGTTAGTGTAGAATACTTCACGTAAGAAGTAGGACTCAAGCTGAACCCTAAAAGACTTGAGGTTTGGGATAAGCAAAAGTACCTTTCCACATTTTTATGCTTTTTCCTTTCTATACGTGGACGCTGTATATGAACTTCTGTCCTATTGAAAGTCTAATTAATGCTGAGAAATCTTTCTCTAAGGTTACCTTTTCTGCTTTTATTACTGTTTCATGGCTTTAAAATAAGTTAGCTCATAACACTGCATTGATAGTAACTTTATTCACAGGCATTATTTATTTATTCTCCATAAACTCAGCATTAGAAGGTAGTCTCCTCTTCTTGTAATGGGAAAGCCAAGATTTGGAGAGGTAAAGGAGCCAGTCTAAAGTCCTACAGATTGTTAGTAGTAAAAGCCCAGATCCCTGGGCTATCATGGAGAATGGTTGTCTGGCATGTTCCTGGCCCTCTCAGGACCATGGTCAGTTCAGACTTGACAGGAGTGGCCACGGGGGAGATATGAGTTGTGAGGCTTGACCACCAGACTGTAGAAGACTTTGAGATGCTAGTGGCTACATGTCTTTCACAAAAATCCTCTGTAGGAAAGTGGGGGTTCATTGCATTCCCCACTAACCAGTTTGATAGTTGACAGAACCAAGGTACACTTGGATCAAGCAGATTTCTGACCTCAAGAAGCCAAGTTTGGAAAAGAACGGAGTCAGATAAAATAAATAAAACCTCGTTTTCTCAAAAGATTTTTGTTGTTACTGTTAAGTGCCATCGAGTTGGTTCCAACCCATAGTGACCCTGTATAGGAGTTTCCGAGGAGTGGCTGGTGAGTTTGAACCGCGGGTCTTGCAGTACACACTGACCTTATGGTCTAGTGTTTATCCTACAGTGCCACACCAGGACTCCAAAGATTTCTGTAGCATCTTAGAATCTCATCTGCTCCCTTCTGCCTATGCCCTTCTATCCCTGAGAAACTTTGAAGCACCTGTCATGCAAGTTTGTCCTAAAAAGTAAGTATTTGAACTTCTTTGTGGACAACATGTTTGCCCTCTTCTTATGCTCATCTGTTGTCAATAAGAATGTATTCACCAAATAAGGGACTATTCTTAGACGCTAGTATGGACATAAAATGGAAACCACAGAGGTTGCTGCTACTGTATAGAATGTGAAAATACCCCTGTGAACTCTGGCTGTTTATAATTTATGATCAGCGGTGGGTGGTTGGATGGGGAGTTTCCTGGTTACATTTGTGACTTGAGAGAATAGTTTAAATGTTCTGCCTCAGTTTCTTCACCAAGAAAGGGATTCTTAATTAAGGGGTTGAATCCCCAAGCCCTTAAAATTATATGCAAATTGTGTGTGTACATGAATGTGCACATTCTGGGGAAAAGGTCCATAGTTTTAATAAATCCTGCATCTATGGGGAGCAGAATCAACATTACATACATACAGACATAGTAGATATTTTGAAATGCTTACATGTAGCTTTGTTGCTCAAAAAATTCCTGTGCATGATCTCTCAAAATTTCATTAATGGAACAACTATCTTTAGGTAAGCCATATGTCCACAACATGTTCTTTGTCATAGTGCATATACTGTTTGATACAAGTAACATTTTACAAAATGGGACTCAAGGAAATAAATACTAGGGCAAATAAAAAATTTAAAAAAATTCTACTAGGGTTCCAGTTCACACATGCATAAGTTTATTCAAAACAAAATGTGTTTCAACATATCTCTGCCACTAATGAATGGCTTCAAACAAGTTCTCCCAGTAATACATTGTCTTAGTCTCATTAAGGTGCCTTCAAAGAAAAAGGTCTGATCAAAACTGACTGCTGAGGGCATCTGCTGGGCCAGCTAAATTCAAAGCAGAGGTCATCTCAGGAGGATATGGTGATTGTTTTATTTTTTTAGATTCTAAAGGGATATTCTTTTTTTTTCAAAGTTTTTATTGTGAGTTGAGTGATAGTTTACATGGGAGAACATTGGTTTTACACTCATCATTTCATTGCAATGATTACAATCTCTTCCATGCATCATCATTCAATCATTCAACAGTATTTGCTTCTATTCCCTCTGGATTTTTTTTTCGGGGATTGGGGGATGTGCACACAAACACTCGACTATATAATCATTAAACAACCAAAGGGCACATTCATCTCTGCCTCCATCTCTGGTGTCGCTGTTTCTCTGGATAGGGTCCCACATTCTGCTCATGCTCTCCTCTCCAATGGGTTAATCTTGATAGATTTTCTCAAAGGAAACACATCGATCATGGTGCTTATTATGAAGAAGATGTAAGAAAATGGAAAGCTGCATTGGTAAGGAAAAGGCCCAGAAGTTGTGCTGAGGAATGTTTTTCTGTCATGACGATGTACCTGCTCATTTACTGAGGGCAGAGAGGGTTTCCGTAGGAGAATGTCTTTGGGAAACCTTACCCCATCTACCATACAACCCTAATCTTGCCCCTTCAGACATTTTTTTGTTTGCCAAACACAAAGAACATTTAAAAGGAATACAATTTGAGTCTCTCAGGATGGAAAAAACTGCTATTTTGACATAGTGTAAACCGAAGAGTACAGAATTCTTTGGGGAAAGGAAAGACTTAAAGATTTAGAAGCACCATATTTAGAAATGTATGGATTTAGATGGAGGAAATGTTGAGAAACAAGAGTTCCACATTTTGAAATTTTTATTTAATTTAAAGGTCTCTATGATTTTATAGGAATACTTTCTGACATACCCTCATATAACTTACCGTGTTGTTCTAAGAATATTTAAGCCATTCGTCTTCTATAGTGGCTCAGTATCCAAATGAAAAATTGCAGCATAAAAACCCCACAATTCAATGTTTCTGGTACACCGGGAAGACAGCTGAATGGCTCAGCAATGCCTGCCCACTGCAGAAAACTTCTGTAGACCAAATCACTGGACACATCATGATTTTCTCCACATAGCATAAAGTTTTGCTTCTCTTCTCTGATATGATTTATTTGAGGTTTGTGATAGATGTTTTATGTATATTAGATGAATCCTCCTATTTATGGCCTAGAAAGCTAAGCCCCCAAGTAACATGCTCAGAGCTACAAATCAAGGAAGAGATAGCTAGGTTTTTGTTTTGTTTTAAACTTTTTATTGCGAATTGAGTGAAGGTTTATAGAGCAGATAATTTTACATGCAACAAATCAGACACTTCGTTTTATCTCAATGATTGCAATCCTTTTAATGTAACATCACTATCCCACTTCCTCCCTATGGTTTTCTGTTCCATTCCTCTTTCTTTCCTCATTCTTCTGAATTTTGTCCTTAGTTTACCACCCCTGGTTTAGGGACTAGATATAATGCTAAGAACTGAAGAAAAGATGAGGAACCCTAATTTGCATATAAAACAGTGCTCATTAGAGAAGATGTGTGTATGTTTTATTTTTCTCATGTGGACAATATTCATATTTTTATAGCATATTATTGAATACATTTTATCATATAGTTGGTGCTCTTTTAGGTAGTTGATTGGAAAAGCACTAAATGTGTAGCCAGGAAACCGGGTTCTTGTATAGCTGGGACACTAACTTGCGGTACAGATCAAAAAATAAAATAAGGAATTGAGGGGTTGAAGGCTCTCCAAAGGCCCTTCTACTCTATCAGTTTTTGAGACTACGAGTTTCCTACTGAGATTTCTAGAAATAATTTTTTTTTTTTTTAAACTCAAACACAATCATAGGAGATCTGCACAGGAAGTCACTGCACAGAGCTGTGTAGTGGGAGGAACAACACAGGCTGCCGCCTCAGAGCTGACTTGAAAGGTAACAGTGTGGAATGAGCAGACCCCCACTTTAACCCACTTGGCATCAAGAGGAAGCTTACTATGACATCACAAGACACTCTTGTGGACATTTTATAAGAAGAATCAAGGGACAGAGCAGAACCCATTGTGAGGTGCACAGCTTATAGGGCACCAGAGAGCCCTCTCCCACCACTAAGTCAATGCTGTCAAGTGTAGTCGAGTCTGTTCTGACTCATAGTGACTCTGTATAGGGTTTCCAAGGAGTAGCTGGTGGAGTTGAACTACACATCTTGTGGTTAATAGATGTATACATTTCTTAAAACAGTTAGAACTAAAGATGGTGGCTATATTCTTAGATTGGTTCAGAATAGTTGATCTTTGGAATACTGGATGTTGAACATGATCTGATAGACCTTGTGGCTTGCAAACCATGCCCTTCAATGACCCCTATAGAAGGGTTTAGGGGATGGGAGAAAGTGAACGGATTCTGTACCCATACCTGCTTCAACTAGACCCCTCCCTCACTTTGGTTTCACAGATTAGATGGCTATAGTTAAATAAATTCTGCTTCGTCTACATTGTTATCAATGGCAAAACTGTCTCAGAAAGGGAAAGATGTGGAAATGGTTGTTGCTGGAAGTGAAGAGCTGGTACTATCAGGCATGAAGAGTTCATATTCATCATCTGAGAAAGGTAGGTGCTTAAGGGTGGAAGACACTTTGGGAAGTGAATACTCAGTCTCAGTTTCTCTCAAGGACTTTGTGGGTCTTTTGGCCTGAGGGGAAGGCACATAGAGAAGTGAATACTCCGTTTCATTTTCTCTCAAGGACTTTGTGGGCTTCACAGCCAGAGAGGAAATATTCTCATAGTGCTGCTCAGCAGAATTCACTGAAGGCCGTCTCCCGAGGACCGTGTGGTTGACGAGAGTGTAGCACAGATCTTCTGAAGAGACTTGGTTAGCACCTCCCTGCTGGTCAAAAGCAGAATCTATCACAAGGCTTGGCTTCTTGCTTTTCCTGTACATTTCACTCTTAACACAGGACAGACCCGGGGTAAAGTTTGTCCTCTACAACCACCTCCTTACCTTCTCTTGGTCATTTTCTCTAATTGGTTGTCCCCTTCTCCAACCACTCCCCTAGGCAGACAGAGCTCCCATTCTGTCCAGATAATATGGCCTTCCTAGGCATGTGTTCTTTTCTCCATGTTCTAGAATTACCCTGGCTACCCTATTTAATTGTGTCTCAGGGCCTTATGGGCAGTCCATTAGTACAAAAGAGAACAATCTATTGATACCGTAATGTGACTGGGCTGCGATATTTAATCACTCATTTTAGAGGTATTTTCATTTTAAAAAAAGAACCCAAGGGAATGCTTTCATTCATACTACAGTGTCAGGAGATAAAAAAAACTAAAGCAGCAATGGGAAACAGTAAGGATTTTGAAGTGAGACTTGATTTGGACTCCTGGTTCTGCTATCTCTTCAGCTATCGGACCTTGGAAAATTCATTTAACCACTCAGTTTTCTCAACTGTAAACTCAGAGTACCAATCTTAAAGAAATGTTGTTAAGTGCCGTCAAGTCAATTCCGACCTATAGTGACTCTGTATAAGGTTTCCGAGGAGCAGCTGGTGAGCTTGAACCGCCAACCTTGCAGTTCAAATGGCAAACTAAATGAGGAATTACATGTAAACTGCTCAGCCCACTGACATAAACAAGTACTTTAAAAATGTGCCTTCCTTTCAGTTCATTAGAAGTGGTTGCAGTCCTTATCTTCAGACCCTATATATGGCCCCCTGAGGCTATAAGTACTAGTATCTAAAATTATCTCTTGTATTCTGGTGTGGTATTGCAGGATAATGCACTGGATCTCAAGTTGGACTTGAACCACAAGGTCAGCCATTCAAACTCACTAGCCGCTCCTCAGAAACCCTATATAGGGTCACTAAGAATCGGAACTGACTCATGGCAGTTAAATGTTGGGCTGCTAACTGCAAGGTTGGTGGTTCAAACTCACCAATGTCACCAGCCACTCTGTGGGAGAACGATGAGGCTCTCTGCTTCCTTAAAGCTTCATAGTCTCAGAAACCTTCTGAAGCCATTCTCCTCTGATCTATAGGCTTACTATGAGTTGGAATTGGCTGAGTGGTAATATGTTTATATGTTAGTGTCCAAAGGTGGCTTGGAGGTCAAATTCTTCTAGCATCTAGAGTATTTGTATCATCTGAGAAAAAGCCTGAGGGATACTTCCCTTACCTGGATGGGATCAGCTGGTATTCCTTCATCTGGAGAAACAAACAAACAGAACCCTTTGTGAATTTCAAGTCTTAGGGAGATTTTAGCCTGGGAGGAAAGAGGACTAAAATGAAAGCAACTACAGAGTTGAGAAACAGCTGGGTTATAAGACAGGCCCGGTGTAAACAAGAAACCGTCAGAGCTGTACTAAGGCTGAGGAGACACACTTCATGGATCTTTGGATAGGAATTCACACTTTCCTTTCCCTACCTTCCCCCACTCCTCTCCCACAAAATTTCCTGCAGGCCTCCCTGTTTCCCTACCTTCCCCTCCTTCCTTCCTTTCACAAAAGTTCCTCCTCTGTACTGCCACTGGAGAGATAAAATGAATAAGAAGTAATCTCTGCCCTCCAGAGCTGTGAAAGGTCCACTGAACATTGATGTGGGCGTTATTTCTATTGTAGGTGGAGGGGATGGTGGTGGAGTTGGAGTTTGTGCTCAGAGAATGCTTTTCATAGAAGGAAACTCTTAAACTGAAATTTCTCATTCCTGTCCTGTTAGCAGATGCAAACAAAAGCAGACCAATTTCCCCAAATTCAATTTATTTAAAATCGGCTGACTGTAACCACTCAGCTAAGAGGCAAATGGACACAATTGTTATCCCTGGCAAATGCACCAGCTCATGAGAGGGGTCTGCTGTGCTCACACAAGTAGTGGGGGCATCACTGCAGCCCAATTGATCGTATATGGATTTGCATTCTTTTGGTACTGATACCCTAGATTCTCACATCTCCACAAACTCCCCTGGACAGCCATCTAGGACTTCCCAGATTATCACAGCCAAGAAAAGAATCAGTGGAGCTTCAGCATTAGGGCTTTTATTTCTAGCATGTCTCACTTTGATAGAGATGGGGCTTCACAATACCCCCTGGGTGTGTGTGTGTGTGTGAAATGGTGGTTGTTGTTAAGTGCCATCAATTCGGACCCATAGTGACTCTGTATAGGGTTTCCAAGGAATAGCTGGTGAGCTTGAACCACTGAACTTGCAGTTCAAACGGTTTTGCAGTCTGGCGCATTAGCCCACAGTGCCACACCAGAACTCTTGGTAGATGCTAAAACATTTAAGATTTAGATTTGAATGAATTGAGCTCTAGCCTTTTAACCCAGGAAGGAGAAGGCAAAACTTTGTTCTTAGTTCTATATTTTCTTATGATCTCTCTCACATATGATGTTATTCAGCACCCTCTCCTCCAATTCTCTCTCCTTAATCACTACACTATTGGTTTCCTAAATGTTCTTACATCTGCTCTTGCCATTTCCTACAGCAATTAGTTCACAGGAGAGCTCTAATGCAAATCTGACCATACCTGCCCCTTTATTAAAGCCCTTTAGGACTTCCTATAGCATGAGGACAAACACTCAAATGCTTAACTTGGCCACAGGATCTTCCATAGTCCCCTCTGTTTTGTGACCCAGTTTCACTGTTCTCCTTGCAGTTGGTTCCCTATTCTGACCTTGTACCCTCCCAGTTAACCCCTTCAGCCTTCAGTCCACAAGAACTAATGGAGGAGTATGGAGATCAACAAACCAGTCCTTGCTTCAATGGGATCACAGTCTGGTGGAGAGAAAAAAGCATGGAATCAGATTAGTTCTGAGCAAAATGCATAAGTATTAGTCTAGAACTATGCCTAAGGAGCTATAGGAGTGCAGAGAAGGGGCAGTTTGGAAATGTAAGTCTACTAGAAATGAAAAATGATGGGAAAGCAATGGCTTACTTTCATTTGGGGGATCTTGTCTTACTTTAAAAATATGTAGTTTTTTCCTGCAAAAGAAAAGGCAAATAAATTGGTTGCTTTGATATTCAGAAATCCTCAAAGGACATTATGTTACTTGATTAAAGGTCAGCGATTGAAGCTCACCAGCCCCTCCTCAGAAATCCTATTCAGGGTCCTTGTGAGTGAAAAACAACGTGACTGCACTTAACAAAGACATCTATCTATCTATCTATCTATCTATCTATCTATCTATCTATCTATCTATTTATCTATCTATCTACCTATCTCTTCCAACTCTATCTCCCTCTTTTCTAAGTCTGATATGGAATTGATTTATAGATGGAGAATTGTTGTTGTTAAGTGCCATTGCGTTGGCTCTGACTCATAGAGACCCTGTATAGGGTTTCTGAGGAGCATCTGGTGAGCTTGAACTGCTGGCATTGATGGAGAATTAGGACAGTGTTATAGGAAACTTTCACTGGAGCCTTTTTTCCCCTGACAAAATATTAACTTTATTTTGATCATGTATTTGAAGAAAACAGGGTCATTCCCAAACCGGATCTCAGTTTATGGTGTATTAAAACGCCAACAATCTTCCCTCTGCCTTCCCTTCCCTTTCCTCTCCCCCTCCCACAAGCTTTTCGTATAAGCCCAGAGGAAACTAAATTTTGTAGACAACCTCCTGCAAAAGCATAATATAAATCTAATGAACCCATTTTCATCACAAGAGGAAAGGCTATCTGCTGTAAAAAAGGGTGGTCATATGTCCTGATTTGCTCAGCCCTGTTAATGGTGTTAGCAATCACTTAGGGACCAACTGTTAGCTATTTCTAGCATCCCTTTTTCATCTTCAAAGGTGGCTCAATTTGGATGATAAATGATAGGTTTACTTACCCTGGTTGTAAATCCTTTGCACATATGACAGAAATATGTACTTTTGTACATGGAGTTTCTGGAACTTACAGTGTGATAATGTATCTTTCTCTACATTAAGAGCCAATTTCCCTAGGATTCTGAGGCTTTCCTGTTTGGTGAGAGTACATCACTCATGTGACCATTGTTCCTGTTTCCCATCAGACTTTTAAGGGTTGCTTCCCTGATTGGCATTGAAATGACTGTCTGGGATAGCAGTAAGCTTAGTGACCACAGCCTGCAGGTAGCTTACAGCAAGTACCACATTAAGACCACGCTTAGGGAAATAATGCCTGAAACCAATTCTCCATTCACCGTGAAAGACAGGAACACCCTTCAGCACTGCAGAGACACCATCCACTCAGATGTCAGGGAGATGACTCAAATCACAAGGTTTGTTCTAGCAGCTTTCCGGTGATTTCCCTTTCTTTGCCATTTCTCTGGAAAACGTGTTTACTCCAAGAAAGCATTCACCTTAAGTAGCCTGGACACACCCATGTTGCTGGACTGCCACTTGTCTGTTAGTTTGTCCCACAGTGGTGGCTTATGTGTTCTGTGTTGCATGAAGCTATGCCACTGGTATTTTGAATGGAAGCAGGGTCACCCATGGTGAACAGCTTTCAGGTGAGCTTCCAGACTAAACTAAACTCAAAAGAAGGAGAGGAAAACTACTTTCTAATGTTTAGCCACTGAAACTTTATGAATAGCAGTGAAGCACTATTCTGATGTCAGCATCAGAATATTGAATACTGAAACCTGAAGGATAGCTCCAGACTATTGTCAGATACAGTGCTGGAAGATGAGCCCCTCATGTTCAAAGACACTCAAAATAGGTCTGGGAAGAGCTGCCTCAAAGCAGAGTTAACCGTGATGACGCAAATGGAGTAAATCTTTTGGGACCTTCATTTGCTGATGGGGCACAACTCAAATCAAGAGAAACAGCTATGAAAATCCATTAATAATTGGAACATATGATGTACAAGGTACAAATCTAAGAAAATTGGAAGTTGTCAAAAATGAAATGAAATGCATAAACATGAATATCCTAAGCATTAGTATTCTGAAATGGACTGGTATTAGTCATTTTGAATTGACAATCACATGATTTACAATGACAAGAATGACAAATGGAAGAGGAATAGCACCACATTCATCATTAAAAAGAACATTTCAAGATCAATCTGAAGTATAATGCTGTGATGGGATAACATCCATATGACTATAAGAAAGATCAGTTAATATCACTATTATTTAAATTTATGCACAAACTGCTAAAGCCAGTAGAGAGGAAATTGAAGAATTATACCAACTTTTTCAGTCTACATTGATCAAACATGCAATCGAAGTTGTATTGATAATTATGAGTGATTGGAATGTGAAGGTCAGTAGTTGGTGACAGAAATAATCCTGGAGATCACATGATAGAGTTTTGCAAAACCTCAGTGACTTCTTCACTGCAAATATCTTTTTTAAACAACATGAAAGATGATTTTACACATAGATTTCACCAGATGGAATACACAGAAATCAAATTGACTACATTTTTTTTTTTAAGTTTTTATTGTGACTTAAGTGATAGTTTACATGGGAGAACATTAGCTTTACATTCATTCTATTGTATTTCATTTCATTGCAATGATTACAATTCCCTCCATGCATCATCAAACAAAGGGTACACCCTGCAAGCCTACTCTCCGGCCGTCAGCACACAGACCCTCTCCGTCCCTGAGTCTGGCGTCCCCAGTGGCTCCATCTCTCCATGTCATCATCTCTGCCTCCATCTCTGGCGTCACTGCATCTCTGGATAGGGTCCTGCACTCTGCTCTTCTCCCTTGATGGTCCCAGGGACCTCCGCTTCTGGACTGCAAAATCAATCACTCCCCTCCTTCTGCCCCCCCACCCCCCACTCCCCCCGCTGACCCCAGGGAGAGAGCCTGCAGGTGAAGTTTTATTCTTTATAAAAAGATAATCCATTTCACCCTCCCCTGTAGCAAAATAAATAGCTGTTCTCTCGAGCAACTCCCAGGCATCCCGGTCAGTCATCATCATCATCTTCTTCTGATTCTTCTGCCAACTCGGATGCGCTCTCTGGCAAGTCACAGCCCATCCGTTCAAACCTTCTAGACACCACATCCCACACATATTTGATGGTCACCTTGAATTCGGCCATCTCATAGCCAAAAAGCTTCAGGACGTGGGCCTGGTCAGGGGTTAGCACGTCGCCCTCCTTGCATACCTTGTAGTCAGATTAGCAGGGTTACGGCACCTTTCTCAAGGGCAGTGGGCAGGCCCAGCTGCCGCAGTTGTGACTCCATGGAGTGAGGGAACTGCTGTAGGGCACCCGGGTCCAGGCTCACTGAGAACTAGCTTCGTTACCACTACGGGCGTAGTCCATTTCCGCGAATTTAGTGAATCACTTGTTCACTTCCTCCTTGATGCGACTGGTGAAAAGGAGACCAGCTTCACCCCTCAGCTTCTTGCTGACCTGGTGCAGATTGTCTTTGTACTCATCACATGTACCTCGACCCAATGCCACCATCATCACCTTGTTTTTGCCAAAGAACATCCGGTTGTGTTTCCAGGCATTCCAGATGTTCTTCAACTTGTGGTTCCTCATGTTGGCCGCAGAGAAGACGAAGAGGTACTTGTACGTGTCCATACGTTTCCGAAACTCTTCTATCAGGTTCTGTTTCAGTGCCAAGCCTTTCTTGGCAGTTTTGGTTAAGGGCACTGTCTTGTCGTGCTGAAGACACGTGCAACGTATGGTAGCCCCACACCCATCCTTTTGTTACAAAACATCTACCTTCACATTTCTGACCCTCACAGTCAGTCAATTATTCATTATTGAACCACAAGAGTCTTATCCCCATCCCCTTTCACCAGCCCCATCCAGACAGATTGGAAACCACTCAGTGGCAATTCTACCTCCCCGGTACCCTCTAGGAACTAGGCTCCATCTTGAAAGCTTGTAAGCCAGTCACTTCTTGCCTTTGTAGCTCCCCTATTTTGGATAGCCATTGTCTAAGTTGCCCATCCCTGCCAACCTTGTGTACTGAGGGGGTGGGAATGATCCTCGCTGTAAAGATGTGTTCCCTCTTTTGAGCTACTATGTCCATAAGTATAGGTTAAGTTCATCAAATTGTAGCAGATTAATTATAATCTTTCTTCTAACATATTGATTATAATTTGATGGTGGAAAAGCTTCATACCATTAGCCAAAACAAGGCAGACTGTGGAAGAGATGATCAATTGTTCATATGTAGGTTCAGGCTGAAGCTGAAGAAAATTAAAACAAGTCTACAAGAACTCTGGTAGCATAGTGGTTATGAGTTGGGCTGCGAACCACAAGGTCAGCAGTTTGAAACTACCAGCTATTCCGCAGGAGAAAGATGAGGCTTTCTGCTCCCTTAAAGATTTACAGCCTCGGAAACCCTGTACAAGGTCGCTATGAGTCGGAACCAAATCCACAGCACATAACAACAACAACAACAACAACACAAGAACCAAAATAAGACCTTGAACACATTCCATCTAAATTTAGATATCATCTCAAGAACAGAGTTGATGCATTAGATACTAATTACAGAAAACTAGATGAGTTGTGGGATAACATCAAGTACATCCTACAAGGAGAAAACATAAGTTCATTAAGAAGACAAGAAAGAAAGAAAAGATCAAAATGGATGTCAGAAGAGACTCTGAAACTTGCTCTCCAGCGTAGAGATGCTAAAGCAAAAGGAAGAAATGAGGAGGTACAAGAGTTGAACAGAAATGTCAAAGGTCAGCTCAAGAAGACAAAGTCAAATATAATAATGAAATGTGTAAAGACCTAGAGTTTGAAAATCCATATGAAGAACACAATCAACATTTTTCAAGCTGAAAGAACTGAGGAAAAATTCAAGCCATGACTTGAAATACTGAAGAATTCTTTCGGCAAGATATGCAATGATGCAGAAAACATCAAAAGAAGATGGAGGCGTACACAGAGTCTTTATACCAAAAATAAATGGTCAATGTTCAACCATTTCAGGAGGTAACATACGATCAAAAGCCAATGGTACTGATGGAAGAAGTTCAAGGTGCACTGAAAGAACTGGCAAAGAACAAGGCTCTGGGAATTGATGGATTACACATTGAAATCTTTCAACCAACTGGAGGTATTCATTCATCTATGCCAAGAAATTTAGAAGACCTGGGTGAAGAGAGGTGACCCAAAGGATAGTGGAAATCATTGGACAATATCATTAATATCACCTGCAAGAAAACTTTTGCTAAAGGTAATTAAAAAAAATGGTTGCAAACGTACATTGATAGAGAACTGCCAGAGGTTCATGCCGGATCCAAACGAGGACATGGAAAGAGGGATATCATTGTTGATATTGAGTGGATCTTGGCTGAAAGCAGACAACACAAGAAAGATATTTACCTGTGCTTTATTGACTCTGCAAAGGCTTTCAACTATGTTAATCACGACAAGCTATGGACAACATTGCAGAGAACGAGTATTCCGGAACACTTAATTGTACTCATGAGGAATTTATAGACCAAGAGGCAGTTGTTGTAACAGAACAAGGAAACACCGAATGGTTTAAAATTAGGAAAGGTGAGCACCAGGGTTGTATTCTTTCACCATACTTTTCCAATTTGTCTGCTGAGCAAATAACCCAAGAAGCTGGATTATATGAAGAAGTGGCATCCGGATTTGAGGAAGACTCATGAACAATTTGTGATATGCAGATGATACAATGTTGCTTGCTGAATGCAAAGAGGACTTAAACTACTTACTGATGAAGACCAAAGACCACAGTCTTCCGTATGGGTTGCACCTCAATGTAAAGAAAACAAAAATCCTCACCATCAAATCAATAACACCATGACAAATGGAGAAAAGTTTTATGTTGTCAAAGACTTCATTTTGCTTGGATGAAGCAACAACACTCCTGGAAGCAGCAGTCAAGAAATCAAACAACATATTGCCTTAGGCAAATCTGCTGCACAAGATCTATTTAAAGTGTTCAAGAGCAAAGACAATGTCTGTTTGAGGACTAAAATGCACCTGACCCTAGCCATGGTATTTTTAATAGCCTTATATGCATGTGACAGTTGGACAGTGAATAAGGAAGATTGTAGAAGAATTGGTCCATTTGAGTCATGGTATTGGAGAAGAATATTAAAGGTACCATGGTCTGCCAGAAGAGTAAACAAGTCTGCTGGATGAAGTACAACCAGAAGGCCCCTTAAAAGCTAGGATGATCAGACTTCATTTACATCTACTATCACTACAACTGATGTTAGGTCTAATCAGGGATTTCCTGCTATGGAATATGTGAAGTCTAGGAAATAACAAACTTCATTCTTCCTCACCTGAATGTTTCCTTTTTGGGGTTTTGGAGTTTCAGGCTCCTAGGAATTTCTTTAGTATCCAGCTGTCACTTGAAATTCAACAATCAGAAATGAGCTATATATTTCTTCTTCAGAATTACCACTTGTCTTAAACACTTTTCAACTTTCCTCACTTCTGCTATTTGTATTATTATATATCTCACCCTGCAGTAATTCAGGAAAAGCAATCATCTGTGAGTAGACACCACCACTCATCTGTCATACAGTAGTGGCATGTGTGTTGCTGTGTTGCTGGATGCTACACCACCGGCATTTTAAATGCCAACAGGTTCACCCATGGTGGACAGGTCTCAGTGGATCTTCTAGACTATTATGAACTAGGAGGAAGAAGAGGTAGACCACTTCTGAAAGGTAGCACTGAAAACGTTGTGAATAGCAATGGAAGATTGTTTGATAGAGTTCCAGAATATGAATCCTTCAGGTTGGAAGGCCCTCAAAATATGACTGCGGAAGACTTTATCTTCAAAGGAAAGTTGACCGTAAGATTTTGTGGATTGAGTGAGGTTTATTTGCTGATGTGATACAACTCAAAATAAGAAGAAAAAAAAATCTGCAAACATCCATTAGAAATTGAAATGTGGAATGTACAAAACACGAATCTAGGAAAACTGGAAGCTGTCAAAAAGGAAATGAAACATAAAGATCACTAGCTCAGGCATTAATGAGCTAAGATGGACAGTTGTTGTCCATTTCAAATTGGAAATCATGGTTTACATTTGGAAAACAACAAATTGAGGAGGAATTGTGTCATATTCATAATTAAAAAGAGCATTTCAAAATCAATATTGAAGTACAATACTGTTTGTGATAGGATAATATCCATACACCTACAAGAAAGACCAGTTAACACCACTATTATTCAAATTTAAGCACCAACGACTAAAGCCAATGATGATGAAATTGAAGAGTTCTATTAGCTTCTTCAGCCTGAAATTGATCAAACATACAGTCAAGATTCATTGATAATTACTGATGATTGGAATGTAAAAGTTGGAAACACAGAGAAAGGATCAGTAGTGGGAAAATATGGCATTGGTGGTAGGAACAGTGCTGGAAAACACATTGTTTTGCAAGACCAATAACTTGTTCATTGCAAATACCACTTTTCAACAGCATAAATGGCAACTATACATGTAGACTTCACGAGGTGGAATACACAGGAATCAACTGACTACATCTGTGGGAAGAGATGCTGAAAAGCTCAATATCATTAGCAAAAACAAGACCAGGTTCAAGTATGGACCTCATAAGCAAGTTCAGACTAAAACCAAGGAAAATTCAAAGAAGTCCAGGGGAGATAAAATATGACCTTGAGTATATCCTACATGAATTTAGAGACCATTTCAAGAAAAGATTTGATGCACTAAACACTAATGACCAAAGATCTGAAGAGTTGTAGGATCACATCAAGAACATCATACCTGAAGAAAGCAAAAGGTAATCAAAAAGAGAGAAAAGAAAGGAAAGACCAATTGGATGTTGGAAGAGACTTTTCAACTTGCTTTTGAGCATAAAGAAGTTAAAGCAAATGGAAGAAATAACGAAGAAAAAGAGCTGAAAAGAAAGATTTGAAGTGCAGCCTGAGATGACAAAGTAAAGTATAATAAAATGTGCAAAAACCTGGTGTTAGAAAACAAAAAAGGAAGAACATGCTCAAGCTGAAAGAACTGATGATAAATTTCAAGCCTTGATTTGAAATAGTGAAGGATTCTATGGGCAAAATGTTAAATGATGTTGGAAATATCAAAAGAAGATGGAAGGAATACGTTGAGTCATAGTACCAAAAAGAACTGGTCAGTGTTCAACAGTTTCAAGAGGTATCATATGAGCAAGAACTGATGATCCTGAAAGAGGAAGTCCAAGCTGCACTGAAGACACTGGTGAAAAGCAAGGCTCCAGGAATTGACAGAATACAAATTGAAATATTTCAACAAACTGATACAACACTGACGGCACTCATTCATCTATCCCAAGAAATTTTCAAGACAGCTTCCTGACCAACTGACTGGAAGAGATCATTAACAACCTCTGATATGCAGATGATGCAATCTTGCTTGCTGGAATCGACGAGTACTTGTAATACTGATGAAGATCAAAGACCACAGCTTTCAGTATGATTGCACCTCAATGTAAAGAAAACAAAATCCTCACAACTGGACCGATAAATAACATCATGATAAGTGAGAAAACATTGGAGTTATCTAAGACTCAGTTTTCCTTGGATCCACAATCAATGCTCATGGAAACAGCAGCCAAGAAATCAAGTGACATATTACATTGGATAAATCTGCTGTGAAAGACCTCTTTCAAGTTTTAATGAGCAAAGGTGTGCTTTGAGGATTGAGGTGTACCTGACCAAACCCATGGTATTTTCAATCACCTCATATGCATGTGAAAGTTGGACAATGAATAAGGGAGACCATAGAAAATGGATGCATTTGAAATGTGGTAATGGAGAAGAATATTGAAAGTACCCCAGACTGCCAGAAAAACAAACAAATCTGCCTTGGGAGAAGTACATCCAGATTGCTCCTTAAAAGCAAGCTGATAAGACTTCATCTTTAGTACTTTGTACATGTTATCAGGAGGAATTAGATCTTGGATAAAGACATCATGTTTGATAAAGTGGAGGATTAGCAAAAGAGTGTTCTCTAAAAAGATGCATTGAAACAGGCAGCAACAATGGGCTTAAATCTAACAACATTTGTGAAGATGATGCAGGACCAGGCACTGTTTCGTTCCATTGTGCATAGAGTTGCTATGAGTCAGAACCAATTTGGTGGCACCTAGTAACAGTGAGTTGGATACATAGATAGACACTCAAGCTGAACATGTGGGAAGTCAAATGAGATTTCACTGAGGAATACAGATTTCAAGCATTTCAAGTTTCATATAGGTTTGAAAGAGGTTATATATACACATGTATGGAGTCCTGGTGTGGCACTGTGGAATCAGCACTGAACTGCTATCTACAAGGTTGGTGGTTCAAACCCACCAGCCACTCCTTGGAAACCCTCTACAGGGTCTCGAGTCAAAACTGACTTGACAGAACTTAACAACAATAGCAAATTTATATGTGCTGCAAATGTAACTATGAATATAGTAGAGCATACAGAGAGTAAACTTAGGAAAACTTCTTAGACATAACCAAGCACTTTGAGGGGATGAGTTACTACGCCAGTGGCTTTGGACCATAGTCACAGGAGACACCAAGGTCATTTGGCATAACATGGTCCACAAAGACAATATTCTACAGCATACTTTGGTGAGTAGTGACTGGTGTCTTAAAAGTTAGTGAGCTACCATCTAAGGTGCAGCTATTGGTCTCTCCTGAAACCATTAGTTCTCCACCCTGAGACAAGAAGACCTAGATGGTTCCTGGTTACTATTGTTGACTCCTCTGAAAGGGATCACAGTAGGAGGTCCTGGATAGAGTGGGATAAAAGCCAAAATAAGAAAAATGGCCAGGCTTACTGGTCTTACAGAAACTGGTGTCAGCCCCAAGACTGTGGCCCTTGTGGACCATGTTCTGCTCATAAAGGTGTGGTGCCACTCTATCTTATGTGGCAATTTTCCCATTTTGTAACAAGTTTGATATGAAAATACATAATGTCTTGGATAACCAGCTGATAGAGGTGAAGCTGAAAGTCAGATCCCAGTACACATGAGATTTTAAAACATCTTAAAGAAGACAAATCTGCATAGAAATGAAGATGAAGGTTCTGGGCTAGCTGGTTAACTATTCGGAAAAAAATATTTATATCTGATACTATATATTGAATGTGTGGGACTAAGTGTAGAAAAGAAATAAAACCATAAAAGTTATAGTTGTGTATTGGTCTTGGGATGGGAGAAATTTTTCAGCATAAAAGCAATGGTAGAAACCAAAAAGCTTGCTTGTTGTTCTTGTTGTTGTTAGGTGCCATCGAGTCGGCACCGACTCATAGTGACCTTATGCACAGCAGAACGAAACAATGTCTGATCCTGGGCTAACCTCACTACTGTTGCCACACTTGAGTCCATCGATGCTGCCACCTGGCCAATCCATCTTGTTGGGGGGTCTTCCTCTTTTTCTCTGACCCGCCACCTTACCGATATTCTTCTCCAGCAATTGTTCCCTCCTGACAATATGTCCAAAGTATGAGAGACGAAGTCTGGCCATCTTGGCCTCTAAGGAGCACTCTGGCTGCACTTCTTCCAAAACAGATCTATTGGTTCTTTTGGCAGCCCATGGCACTTTTAGTATTCTCCTCCAACACCATAATTCAAAGGGTTCAATTCTTCTACGGTCTTCCTTAATCACTGTCAAGCTTTTGCATGCATATGAAGTTATTGAAAATACCATGGCATGGGTCAGACACACCTTAGTCCTCAAGCTGACATCTTTGCTTTTCAACACTTTAAAAAGTTCCTGTGCAGCAGATTTGCCTAATGCAAAACGTCGTCTGATCTCTTGAATGATGCTAGTTGATAGTTGATTCAAGAAGAATGAAGTCCTTGACAACTTCAATCTTTTCTCCATTGAAAAGAACGTTATTTATTGGTCCAGTGGTGAGAATTTTTGTTTTCTTGACGTTAAGATATAATACATATAGATGGCTGTGCTGTTTGATCTTCATCAGTAAATATTTTAAGTCCTCTTCACTTTCAGTAAGCAAGGTTGTATCATCTGCATATCGTAGGTTGTTAATGAGTCTTCCTCCAATCCTGATGCTATGTTTTTCTTCATAGAACCCAGCTTCTTGTTTTGTTTGCTCAGCATACATGTTGAATAAGTATGGTGAAAGAATACAACCTTGTCTCACACCTTTCTTAATTTTAAAACATTCAGTGCTCCCATGTTCTGTTCAAACAACTGCTTCTTGGTCCAGGTACAGATTCCTCATGAGTACAATTAAGTATTCTGGAATACTTATACTTCACAATGTTTTCCATAGCTTGTCATGATCCACACAATTGAAAGCCTTTGCGTAGCCAATAAAGCACAGGTAAGCATCTTTCTGATATTCTCTGCTTTCAGCCGAGAAAAGCTTGCTAGATT